GGTCCTCATTACACAGTCTGGGTCCTCATTTCACCCACCTCGGAAGGATGGAAGGCTGAGTCAACCTTGAGCCGGTGAGATTTGAACCGCCGAACTGCAGCTAACAGTCAGCTGAAGTGGCCTGCAGTACTGCACTCTAATCACTGCCCCACCTCGGCTCATAACCATTACTGTGCAATAATTCAAGCTCAAGGAATAATTCTACTTCCTTGCCCCAATCCAAAATCAAAGATACACAACTGCCTTGTTATCCTGAAGTTAGAAAAAATCCTTGCAGCTCCATCACTGGCAACTACTAAAATCATTAAAAAGTGAACCAATTTGAGCTAGTGATGAAGGCACCAAGTTAGAAACCGGGTGACTGTGAATTCTAGTTCCACCTTAGGCATGAAAGCTGGCTGGGTGACTTTGGGCTTATCACCAGGAGATGGTGAGTTCTAGATCCACCTTAGGCATGAAAGCCACTTGAGAGAACTTTGGGTAAATTACTCTCTCTCAGCCCTACACACCTCGCAGGGTTGTCATTGCGGGGAAAACAGGAGGAGGAAGGAGGTATGTTCCCCAACTAGAGTATTTATAAAAATTTAAAGAGCAGGATATAGGTCTGTGATAGCGAAGCTATGGCACGCATGCCACAAATAGCATGCAGAGCCCTATTTGCTGGCACGGTAGCCCTCACCTCTGGGGTGCATGCACACACCAGCCAGCTAATTTTCGGCCTTCCAGAAGGCTGTGGGAGGCCATTTTCACCCTCCCCAGGCTTCAGGAAAGCCTCTGGAGCATAGAGAGGGTGAAAAACAGGCCAACCGGAAGTTCGTTCCCAAACTTACGGCTGGCCCATTGGGTCATTTTTCACCCTCCCCAGGTTCCAGAGGCTTTCCTGAAGCCTGAGGAGGGCAAAAACGGCCTCCCCATGTCTCCTGGAGGCCCTCTGGAAGGCGGAAATGGATTATTTCTGAACTTCCGATTGGCCTGTTGGATCCGTTTTTCACCCTCCCCAGGCTCCGGAGGCTTTCTGCATTGGGGGGGGGCTTGTTGTCACACCCACATGTGCATGTGGGTGGGGCATGCGTGCACGAGCAATAGCGTATGCACAGACAACTTTGATACACCTTTAGAAAAAGGTTATCCATCCCTGGTATAGGTAGTCCTTGGCATCCGGCTGAGCCCTTAGTGACTTCATGAACATCCATATACTTTTTTTGACGATAACACTGAAATAGTTTTCTATTCCCTTCCATTAAAAAAAATAATTTTTATATTTCTGATTGTCTTATTTCACAAATAAGATGTTTCATTGGCTTTTACATTCACTAACAAAAAAAAATCTAAAAAGATGTTAGTCTCTAGCAGCTTGAAGGGACATAAATTTCCTACTTTGATCGTGGGCCTGAAATGAACCAGCTGTTTTCATCGAATGGATGCACGAAACCAGAACCAGAAGGCTGGCACTAATCTAAGAATACAGTTTAGTTTAGTTTAGTTTAGTTTAGTTTAGTTTAGTTTAGTTTAGTTTCTTGTCAATGCACCTTGTACAATGAAATTGAATGCCATCTTCAGTGTACATTATAACTACAAAAATAAAAACACAAACACACATCCTTCACATCCCATACAATTGAATTGAAAACCTCTGATATTGCAATAATATTGCGCTATACTGTAGATTCAATATACTTACTGCACTGGAATAGAAGCTGTTTTTCAGCTGATTTGACCTTGTTTTTTAAAAAGGGGGGGGGATGCTCAGGATGAGATGGATCTTTAAGAATGTACTAAATATGAGGAAGACATTTTATCCTGTTTAAACTCCTACAAATTATAAAATATTGGAATTAATAAATCCCTGAATTATATGGGCCTTCTCCAGGTGCCATCAGCTAGACAATGCCGGCTGGCGACGCCTCAGAGTAGGGCCTTCTCTGTGGCTGCTCCGGCCCTACGGAACGAGCTACCCCCAGAGATCCGGACCCTACCCACTCTCATGGCCTTCCCAAGAGCTATTAAAACCTGGCTATTCCGGCAGGCCTGGGGCTGTTGACCTCTGGATTGAGGTCCAGCCCCGCTTAGATTGGGTGCATGTTGTGTCTTTTTTAAATTGTTGTGTTTTATTTATTTTTAACCTTTCTTAGTTTTTGTTTCTGTAAGCCACACGGAGTCCTCCGGGATTTGGCGGCCTATAAATTTAATAAACAGTAAACAGTAAACAGTTAAACAG